TTTATATATATTTTAAATAAGTCTCTTGTCTGCTTTCAAAATTTATGAGGGGTTTTTCTGGTCTTTTGGAAGGGCAATAAATAAAAGTAGAAAAGGCTGAACTGTTTTGCATATCTTTGTGGAAGAACGGAGAACAATTATACTTTTAGAGTTCCAGAAAGATCACTGTACAGAACAAAAAGCTTATATACAATTAAGTGTGCAATTTTAGTTGGCTGGGCCTTTTATTATGTGAGATCTCCTTTTTGACTAGAAGCCACTTCTACTCTTGACCAAATCCCTCTGTTTCTTCAATGGCAAAGAGCAGCTTCTCTTTTAGTTGTTCATAGCTTTTATATGGTGGCAAATCCAAACGATTAAAACTGAGCAGAAAAAAACAAAATTTTGTTAAGTTTACCTAATCCCATGTAGAGCACTACTGAACTCGACTGCTATAGTAGAAGTTAAATATGTTCTGATCTAACAATTAGAAATGAAGAAATAGCAATCAGTGCCATCTCAATGCCTTGATATTTCCATGAGCAGTAAAAACAGACAAAGTTTGAGAGGAATACTTTAAGAAACAAAAGACTGTTATCACATCAGATAAAAACCAGAACCTTTGAAGACTAAAGACAGCCCAAGAGACACAGAACTATAATACTCAGAAAAGGGAAGGTTCACCATGAAGTTTAATATCCTCCTAGTTTGATGCATCTCCAAATTCCAGCAAGAGCATGAAAAAGCTGAATTTTTCTCCTTCCTACGCATGCCTGGATATAGGGGTTTTTTTCCCTCTAAACTTTGCCCTAAAAGGCTTCTGCCAAAATTCTGTTTCATTCCATGCCTTCCCCAAAATTATGTTAGATAAAGAGGGATGTTTGACTCTTGCAATCATCCCTTGAAAAAACAGCACCGATGGAGAAAATGGTAAAATGGAGGATTCCCTGAAGTAGTTTAAAAGTATGATGAATATTATGGTCTCAACGTTGCCAAAGGAAGGTGTGTCCATTTTGCGCACAGTATATACGGCAAACTGATCTGTGTTTCTGTTGCACCAGTCTGGCATAGGAATGCCAAGCCACTAATATCTGAAGCCTGGCAGGAAAAAGTATCTGCGTTCTTGGCTAAGCATCCTTGTTTAGAATGTTTGCTGCCATTTCTTTCACATTACTTTTTCTCATGACTATACATTTATCTCTTATAATATGTTACTGTATAATTAAGTGTATCTAATAACTATATACCTAATACCAATATGACTTTTGTTCAGTTATTTAATATTCTCTAAAATAACTAGGGAAACACCTCTCAGTTCTGTGCAAGCAGGATGATATGATACCTTTGATAGATCTGATGCTGACAAACTGTGTACAGTAAAGTAGCAAAATTTAAGAACAGGGCAACCAGAAAAGTTTTCAATACTGGCATGTCAGAGCAATCAAAGAAGCTGAAGATGGAGATAGAGAACTGATTCTAATTAGATTTCATTTGTTTTGGTAAATCCAAGATCAGAAGAGAGAACCACTAAAGGTATAGAAAGTTTACATATAACAACTCACCAAGTATGACTTCTTGGTAACCAGGTTTCCTTACCAACTTTTTCAATGCAGAATTTCTGAGGACCATTACTTCCTAGAAAAGATGATTAAAAAAAGTGTAATCTGTTCCTTTTAAGTAGCACACGTGACATATACGTGACATAAGACACAACTCAGATACAGCTGAGAGAGCTCATTAGGTGCTACTCAACGTTACAAGAATATGAACATTCTTCTGATAGAAATGAGCTCATTTCCTAATAATTTATAAATGTATTCTTGGGTTTTCTGATATAAAATCCCTTCTAGATCCAAGCTGATGTACATGAAGTTCCTGCTATCTGTACACTTGCAGCATGGTTCGTTTGCAAATAGAACAGTTACAATATAAAAGTTTTGGTCACCTTTTACTTACCCATAAGTTCAGCAAATCCACCCAGTGGTAATCTGCAAGTGCCAGTGACAAACTGCAGAAGTCGCATGCGAACCTCGTTGTCTGTTTCTTTTACAAACTAGGCACAGAAATTCAGATTACTTAATAAAAAACTTTAACAAAGCTGGAGAACAACAAAAACCCCACGAGATTGTTGAAAAAAGTGTAATTCCATTTAAAAAGACACCACCTCGAGAACAATTTACCTTTCTTGATTTCAGAAAAATTGTGTGGAGGGACAAGACAATGATTTCAGATTATATGCACTGTTGACCGTTACAATGTGAAGGCTGGGAACAGCAAATAAGAAGAAACTTTATCTATTTTATCCTACACTAAAATATAAATCATGCCAATGCTTTATATGAAGACTATTGCCTTTTGATTAAACACAGCAATAGCCTAGCCACAGGCCCTGGGTAATTCAAGACTGAAGTATTCCCTACATGTGGCAATCTCAGTGAGAGGAAACACCATCCATAACAGCTGCATCACTTGGTAAGGAAAGGGAAGAGGAAGAAAAGAGAGGGGAGACAGAGAACATCTCAGTAATAGAGGGGGCACTGATACAGCTAGAATATTGACTCAGAAAAACCTGGATAACAAAATGAGTATTTTTGTTCTATAAATGTTGAAACCATTTCCAAGTTACTTGAACTTCTGGTTACGATTCTTTCAGTACCAAGCACATCATCAGACCTTACATTATTCTGACAATATAAATAAGCTAGGAAATAACCGATTTGCATCATTTTCTGATAGGAACTTTGTCAAAAGCATCTCTAAAATGGTGATTTATTACAAGTGATAAGTGAGTTTGGTTTAGGGAAATTCATAGAAACTGGGAGCCTGTGTAGCATTTTTGGAGGTTTTGTTCTGAAAATAATTCTTAGCCAACTTCATTAAAATGTGAGTTATAACCAGTCAGTGCCAGACTGGCACAGTTAATATGACAATAATCATAAATAATACGTGGCATTTCAGATGTACAGGTGTACTACATAGACGAACATTTAGAAGGTAGATCACTGCTAAGAATACAAAAAACTGTATTGTCATATAATCAATAAGAAAGACAAGATACAGAAAAAGTATTCATGACCCAGCCATCCAAACACAATGCGGGTATCTAGCTGCCATTTCCCACCCTAATGTATGCTCCCTAAGAACCAGTAATCCTCCTCCACGGAAAAGAAAAAAGAAAGGAAGCAGCGAGAACCTTCATTTAGATGGCATCCCTCCACTCCACGTCATTTGTGTTACAAAACAAAATCTAAAGAAGTCAGAAATTTTACTGATCAACGTACCTGCCAGAACCATATGATCTGTTTGCTGTTCCTTGTATAATGACGATAAACAGTGTTCCTCTGCCAGTCTGCTAAATCAACTTCTTGCATACCACAGAGCATAACCTAGAAAAGAGAATGATTACTTGACAATATACAAGTCTACACACATAAATTAAAGAATTAATTTTGTATCTTGTATGAGACACACTAACAAAAATGGAAGTTCTTGCTCCCGAAAAAGGACTGGTAACTTCTTCATTTTACTCCAGTTAGATTTTCTTTTATCCTAAGTTTACAGAACTCCTCCAAAATTATTTATGTTGAGAACAAAAATATTTATGTTCAGACCACATATATAAGTGGTCTGAAAGCCTGCATACCAGAAACTTAGTTTCTTCCAACTAATAATTCAATAATAAAAGATATTACCTTTGCCATATAAGGAAATTTTATATTAAAGAGGATATTACCTATCCCATTAAAACCTTGCCTCATATTCCAAGATGATGATGATTACATCCCTGCTACTGCTACTACTAGTAAAGATAAAACACACTGCAAAGTGTAAGTCTGCAAAGTATTCATTACGAGAGGCAATGAAAGCTGGAAGTGCTAAAGGCAAAGCCTCCTACAAAAATGAATACTAAATAAGATAGATCAAAGTCTCTTCTCAGGAAAAACTCCCATTTAACTTAAGAAGCTTTCAGAACACTGCTCATTATATACAGGGAACTTTGGCAGGTCTCACAGACATAAATAAGCACAGCACTACAGAGCTTTTTGTCCCTGCTCCAATCACAACCCCAACAGTGAACACAGGTCAGGCTGATTGTTAAGTAAACCTGGTGTATTCAAGCAACTCTGTTATCAGCCCTTGGGTTACATACTGAGAATCTGCAAAACTAAGTTTCAAACCTTGTTCACTCCTCCAACTTTCTGTCCTTATGTGTAATAACCCTAGAACCTATCCTAGACTATGTTTGTGAAACTAAGCGATCACTATACACCAGAATCAACTTCTGTGCCATCTGTTACAAGGTAATTCTACCCATCTACCACAGAGGGAAAAGTTTTCTATGACTAACAGGTCCATCTGTGACCTCATATTCTGATCCTTTCATAGACACTTGCAAAACGCATTTTAATACTGAGGATGGAATCTAAAATTCTCAACTGCTGAACACCACAAAACACTGATTCAATAGATGCTGGCTTTTCACCGTGATTTATCCCACTGCTCCTATTAAATTCTCCATGTTCCAGAAGCTATAAAGTGCAGCATGCCACAGATGAGAGATTCAAGTTGACCTATCCGTTTAATCATTCCATATGTATTACCTTTGCAAAAGGTAAAAATGTTGAACAGAAAACCTCACCTCCAGCTCCTTTTCATCAAAATAGTGCAGCCACTGTAGAGGAACAACTTCATTAAAACCATCAAGAAAAGCTTTGGTTTGTTCTCTAACTCCCCGAGAAAATCGCCACTCAGCCATTAGCCTGGTATGAAAAAAACCAAACATAAATTAAACATCAATTAGCACTCAACATGAAGAAGTTCAAACATGTATGACTGCGTGTGTTCCCATGAGGTAACGCTCCCTCCAACTTTACTTTCCTACACTGTATGATTCCATAGACTAGAAGGGACCTACCATACTAATATTATCACAAGCCTCCAAACTCAGACAAAAGTAAAAGTAGCAAGATGTATTTAGATTACCATTACAGTTAATTAAAAAAAAAAATTATTATTAACCTTTCACTAATCAAAATTAAGCAGCCTCTTCATGAAACTAATGCTACTTGGGCATTATGGTTTTTTTATGGCAAAATTTGTTTTACCTTAAAAAGTGCATAATCCTCGTGTTTCACTGGTAGAAAAGAAAAATTTCCACTGATCTTAAAATACTCTGTTCTTGAGCAAAAAACACCATGTAGGCAGAGAATATATGAAATACTGTGGCTTATAATACCTATAACTATGGTTGCCCAACACTTCCAGCAAAGACTATTTCCAGCTTCAACAAAGAGTAGTCATTTTCTGTTTTGAGCTTCTGAAAGAGGTAATGTTTTTTAAGTTTCAACTAAAATGGTCAAGCCACTTCTAAATTAAAAAAAAGATACCATAAAAAAAAAAGGATACCAAGATACCATTTCAGTAACAGTCCCAAGAATTACGTAGTAATGGGGGGGACAGACCCCAAACAAATCATATACTGTGTCAAAAAAGATTATAGCAGAGAAGAAATATGGAACACTTTTTTTCAATATCTACAGCTTCCTACCCAATATATTCTTCTTTGTTCTCCTCAGTTACCAAGATATTTGAACCTCCTGATTTTAGCTCATGTGAGGTTACTTTTCCTAAGAGCTCCATATCCACACAAAAGTACATTTCCAAGTTACACTCTTCGATGTTATTATCCCTGAATGAAAAGAAAAAAAAAAGTGCCATGAATTCTATATAAACAAAAAAATCCACAAAACATCACACACTCAAAAAAATAATCTACAAACCTTATCCAAATGAGGGAGTTGTAAAATTCAGTATCAATAGATTCTAGGTCCTTAATGGTAAGTTTTTTGCTCAGCATTCGTTTGTAGAAAGGCAGAGAAAAACCAGTGTCAATAAATTTCCCATGAAACAATGCCTGTTGAACAGAAAAAAGTCTGTTTAGCTTTACTGAACTACTGAAATACTGAAGTATTTCTGGACTTGAATTCTTTTTTCCTTTCTCCTTCAAATAATAAAAAGCACCAAGTTGCAGTAGCAGCTTGGTATTTAAAAAGAACAAAACATTATATTAAATGGGAAGGAAAAAAAAAGATTAATTGACAAAATTTATCCAAGCATATGTTATCATTACTTAGAAATTATTTGATTAAAAATAAACTTCTTATAAAAGGATGGAGTTACGAAAAGAGGAAATTACTAAGTTTCCTTTTTATTATGTGGATAAGTATATATGCCAAGTGTTATTTGATCCTACTTGGTCATAATATTTGACCCTACTTGAGTACTACTGCCATTTTTTACTACATACACACATCCTGCAAAATCATCCTTTACACAATGCTAGTGCAGCTTGTAAAAAACAGTTTAAAAATGCAATCACAGAACTGCTTTGGAAAGAGCTTTGGGAATCACATTTTTTATAGGTGATAACAGAACTAAGAAATGAGATTCTCCCTTCTGCAAAAATGAAATTGAAAAAAAAAAAAAAACAAACCCCAAACATGGTCACACTTGTCTCACCACACGTGCGCAAAGGGTGTAAGCTAATTTCTAGTACTGAAGCATAGCATTACACACACACACACAGTGTTAACTTCTATACTGACTCAGTGCGTCTGAGAGCTAACAGAGCACAGCTATAACTATGAAAACATTTTTTTCTCCTCATTCTTATCAATTACACTTTCTTCACTAAAATACCTCTTTAAAAAATCATCCTAAATATAGGCCACGTACAGCATTCATTGCTTGTCCTTCCTTACAGCTGAAATTCTGTGAGCAGAAGAGCCAATGTAAGGGCCCATTTCCTCTAGAAAAAGGCAAGGCTCCATGTTTTTTCCCCACCTTCTAATTTACCCCCTAAAGCTTACTCTAGCATGCATTTTCTTCTGTTTTAGGAGAGCTTAAAAAGGTTCTCTCAGAGGCATTTATTTATTTATTTGTGTATTTATTTTTAAACTAGTCTATAATTCTCATCGGAAACAGAAAAATTAAATGTCAAGTGCAGCATCCAGCTATACGATTTCCTGCTTTTTGCAAAAGTAAGGTCTTAAATCATCTCATTTAATGTCTGATAATCTTACAGCAAAATATAAAAGTTGCCTCAGCCAACCCTATTTAACAGCTTTTGTTACAGAGTAAAATGTGTATTCTTTATGTTTAACTCCATTTCAGTTGAAAACATCTGTGGTTATTTCAGTACTTAAAACCAAAAGAAGTCTTTATGATCTGAAAATCACAGCTATTTTAGAACCGTAAGAAGTACAGAAACTACAACTGCACTTAAAAAGCCTATCTAGACTCCTTAAAATGATTCCCACTTACATTATTAACTGAGCTATTTTAAGCCACTAGAGGGTATCCCAGGAAGTACGGCAGGAAGTGCCATCCATCAGAAATCATCAATATACTCAAACCTTGCAACTGACCAAATTAGGCACCATTACACAAGTCCCTCTCCATGCCCCCCCCCCACCTTAAAGAATTTAAAATAAAAATACAAAAATACTTCAGGAACGAAGAATTTGTCTTTCCATTACATTAAATACTTTAATTAAAGTTCTCTTCTATGTACTTTTATGTAGTAGTTTTCCCAAAGTTAACATTTCAATTATGGTTTTATCTTACTCACAAGATCAAAAATCAGTGACTAAAAGAAACAGAATTTGGCTCTAGCACCGAACTGGCTTTATCACGTCTTCCTGCTAAATGGCATTATAGCTTGCTGAGGGTTCTAAATGAAAGAAAAAAGTTGGCAGCCTATTAAAAGTGTTAACCCAGTGAAATAAATTTTCATGACAGCAAAGAAATGGGGAATTTGGCCACAAAATCCTTGCAATCAGAAATGTTATCATCAAAACTGAACAAATTTGTTTCTCAAGAAGTGTCTATAAGAAAAGCAAAACCAAGAAAACCCCCAAAGCTATTTTAAGTCTGAAAGTATTTTTCCATTTATGTTACAGTTTGCTTGTATTTATTCTAATTTCATACAAAAAGCCTGAACAACAGGCGAAGACAACAGTCTCTTCAATCTGAAAATGCACTTTTATCTATTCTGTTTGGTTTCACCATTCACCATGTTCGGGATGTTGCTGAGGGCTACCTGTAGACTTCATGACGATTATATGGAAAGATGACTGCATCACTACATGGAAGGAAAGAAATGTGACAGAGTAGGAATCCACTATAGAAAATTGATCAGTTGTACCAGAAGAAGAAATGATACAACATGCCTCGTCAGTTTTTAGTTTAAGAGAAATCTGATGGCAGAGAATCAGCCCCCTGCCAGCTTCTGGTCTCCTCAGTACCTGACCTTGGTATCCAAATATGTATGTTTAAATTAAGGCTCAGTGTACTCTGCAAAACATTTCTAACTCATTTTTTCGAATACAGTAAGGTATACCAATTCTAACCAAGGAGCCTTTTTTGGAAAACACTAGTCACATTTTTCAGAGCATCAGTATTCAGACACTCAATCAAACAGCAGTTTGTATGAAGTACACACATCCAACTGATCAAAATAAAATACTCTATTGAATGTCACATTAACTTTCATCACTATTCTAGGAAACCTGAGTGTTTAAGAGACTTAACTCTCAGGGTATATTTTGGCTCAATAACCTTACATGCCTTAATCTTCCATTCCTAAGAGATTAATATAACCTTTAATAACTCTAAAAACAAATACTGTTCAGGAATAAATGTATAGCTACAGCAAATAATAAAACCTTAAAAATCTAACCTACCATGGCAATAAAGCGCCCAATGAAACAGAAATATGAAAGATGGTCAGGATTGATTGTTGATGCTGGATTTATCTGCAGGCAATAGTTGCTCTTGCCAGCATATTCAAATAGGCAGTACATAGGGTTCAGTACTTCATGGGAAAGCAAGAAAAACCATTCTCTAAGGAAAAAAAACATGTATACACATAAAAACCATCAAATACAGATGTTTATCACCATTCCCCTTAGGTAACTAGCAAAATGGTCAAAATATATGCAAAATTAGAAAAATAATATAAACAGTGTTATATTAGAATCACAGAATAAAATATGGCATTATATACTTCTTAAATATGAAAAAAGCATTATTAAAAACGTTAATGTTAGAAAGTCATGGTTTCCAAAGTTTAGAAATGATTGTTAGGATTGTCAACTTGAACACACCCTCATAGCACAGGTTTTAGCTGCATATTAGTAACATTTTTGCCTACAGAGTCCTTGCCTCAACCAGTACACAGTATTTATCCTCCTCATGCCTGCTTTGCTGCATACAACTCAAATCTGTATTCAAAAACATTACAGATTATTCAATGGGCAGTGATTATTATAAACAACCTAGGCAAAACAAAACAAGAAAACCCAAACCACAGCACACCTTATTTGCTTTCCCAATCTAACAACAGAACACTCACTGAGTTACTGTGGTTTAACAAATTACCATGCATCAGTTAAGCCCACAGGACACAACAGTGTGAAAGTAAATTTTTGTTGAGGTTTAACTAATACATGTTATTCACCACTTTCATAGTTTCCAACTCAGCTGACCTGAAATAATAACAGAATCTGGTATTTCAGTGTTAGGATAGCTGATTTTTAGAATATTTGTTGCTTTATAGTATTTGCATATAATCAGAAACATCAGAAGCCGTCATAGATACTCAGGAGTTTTTGTATCAGGCCCTAAATGCTTGGAACTGAACAACCAGGCTTAGGGAAAAGCTGCAAAAAAAGCTAAAAGTCTATCCTATAATAACTGCAGGGACTGAATTCCATCCTGACTGCCTTTCAGCTGTCAGATTTAAGAGGCATCTTTTCTATCCTTTATTTACCTGAGATCAGGGAATAGAAATGAGAGGTTTGCTGGCATGTTTCTCCTTACAGTTCTATGAAACTCAAGTCATGGATCTCCACTACAATACGCTTCCAACCCAAAGGCCAAGTAGAAAGAGTGAACAGAGAAAGGCAGCCAGGATATGATAACCCTAACAGGGTTCCGTGTATCTTTTCATAAGCACGAGAATGTTGTACAGCATTCTATGCAAGTTTTAGACTGAGACAATTTTATTAACTCTGCACAGAAGCATCAAATCTAATAGGCATTTAAATTAGATCAAAGCCAGGTAACAAGGGACCAGTCATCTACATGAAGTTTGCAGAACCAATGAATTTTTCACATCAACAGCTAGAACTAACCACAGGACATAGTGTCAGATTGGTCCTGCTAAACGCAAGGTAAAAATCTGGAGGGAACACCGAGTTTAGCCTGCTGAGAGACAGGTGATAAATCAGGTGCATCAGCTTTCTATATTTGTATTAATGCAGTATTCCACTAACAAGTCAGTACATGAACATTTACTCAGTGTCACTTAAGAATTCTCAGCTCAAGTTACAATGAGATCCTTGCTGCTTCTCAGTTTCACATACAAAATCTTGGTCAAGACTTATTCCTAAAACTATGAAATTATACTACTTAGATATTTTTTATTTACTCATTCATTTATTTATTCTGCTACTTTCTGTGACTAACAGTCTTCAGTTAAATTATTCTAACATCACTTCTTTGGAATATTTTGTTTTTCTGGAACAGATTACTTGAACTTTCCTGGTTCCAGTCCTATGTGTAGGGCCATCATGATAGAGACACCAACCAAATAAAACCCATGCAAAGCAAATAGTGGATTCCTCCCTGGGGGCACCCCACAAAAGTCTATCAGATATTGTAATTCAGAAGCATAACTACACACATATCCAAAGAAGCTCAACCTTCAGAGGAAAGCTTCCTTACAAATACTACACATTTTCACTGAACTTCACTTTAACAGCATACCTTTACATTAAAAAAAACAACCAAACAAGAAAAATTCTATCACCTATGGCTAATTTTAATTCCCTGGATCTGCAGTAGTACTGAAATTTTCATCCTAACAGTAATATTTCAGTCAAGTAACTGGCAGCAGTAGTCAGTGGTTTTCTTCTATATGGTCAACACATGCAACACACTTTGTCTATGGTTTTCCTGTTACCAGACTTTCCCTCTGAGTTCCACTTCAGATTCTAGAAAAACCTGTAGTCTAGCTGTTTCGCATTCTTGTGCAGCCTACAGTCTGTTTGTCTGCTGTTGCTTCATGCCTGCACTCCTCTCCTCTTGTTTATGTCCTTTCTGTTCATATCAGCCACAACCTGGTGTTCGCTTGTTTTTTTCCAAATAAGCAAACCACTTCATTTTTCCACAGTCCCCACTTCCAGGAAAGTGGAACTTTCTGATAGGAAGTTTCTGAAATAACTCAGTCTAGAGCAATTAACTGGCATAAAAAAATTCCAATTTAAACATCAATCTTTGTCAAAGAACTGAACAAATGAGACCACAGTTTTACTAATTCAAGGTTATAACCCATAACAGTAGCCAGTGCTGCCAGTTCCACCTCCTTAATACATTAAGGGGAGATAAAAAGGTAACCAGGGTCAGACTGCAAAAGCAAGCAGTTTCTTTGCCAACAGAATGACATTAGAAATCAAGGTTAGAGTGCTATTAAAAAAATAAAAACTGTTTGAAACAAATTTTCTTTTACCTTGCCAAGCCACCATAATCCAATCCTTCTTCTCCTCTGAATATAACATATAATCTTCTCCTCAAATCATAGGGTTTTAATGCCATAATCTATCAAAAAACCAAAAATTGTAATAAATTATAAATTATGCATTGTCAATACAATCGCTCTTTCTTACTCAGATTTTATTTAATTAATACAGAAATGCGATATATGTCAAATGTTTACACAGATCTGACAAACAATTAGACCATTTCATGGAACACGCAATCAATGAACCACACACAAAAATCCCAACTAAGACTTAAAATCCTTGAGCAGCAGACTGCTAGCAAGTGGGAGAGCGTATCTGGAAAGTATCACTATATGGTTGCCCTGTTCTTATCCTAAGGCATTCATTATCATTAAAGGAAAACAGGCAAAAAGGTATTTCATCTGATATATTACAGACTTCGGTTTTAGGCAAATCACTTTAAAAAGTAATTTACTGTAATCCAAAATAAGTGTAATACACTTTCATTAATAATGTACTTTTTACTTATAGAGAATCCCTCCCAGGTTTTGATGTGGTGACAGCGGCAAGAATTTTCATTGTTACAGAGAAAGAAGGAAGGAACATACATTGGCTGCAGACTGTAGGAGCTCAAGAACTGTAAGCTTCAATTCCACAGATTTAACATTTGAAGGACAAAGCAGGACACCAGTTTTAATTGGAGAAAACAACATTTGGTAATGTATATAACTACACACAAAGATGAGAAAAGCAAATCCAATGTGGTTAAGTTAATATGGTATGCAATGTGGTTAAGCTATGGAAGTCTTTACCACAGGATGCTGTAGATGCAACAAGTTCACAAGAGGAGCACAGACAAGCTCACAGAACAGAAGTCCCTGGAGGGTTATTAAAATACCCAGAAACCACATCAAGCTCAAGAAGCATTTCAATTGTAAACAGTTGGGAGCTCAAAGATCATTTTGTAAAAGTATTACATACATTACTTCTGTTCTTACAGTCTTCCCTAAGAATCCCCCTTTGGCTACTACCAGAGGAAGATTACTGTGCCTGAAGGACCATTAGTCTGAACTGGCTACGGCCGTTTTTGTTCTTATGCTTTGTCTTGATAAACAAACACAACAATCTTTGCAGGCTTACTTGCTGGAAGGAATCCTCAAACAAAGTCTGTCTGGATACATTGATTTTCACATGACTTGGCAGTGCATTGGACTGTAATCATAATCATAAGGCAATAATGTTAAAAGGAAGCACATATAAATGTAAATTCAAATAGTTTCAAAAAGTAAATAATTACTTAACCAGTACCTGACACAAGTAACGGAAATGAGCAAGTTTCCACCTAAAGCTACGCTCATAAGCAATCTGTGGCCCTTTATTTCTGTAAGGAAATATATTTGAGATACATTAACTATACAGACATCAAACAGTACTTTCAATGCTAAACAACAGCATGTAGATTTCAAAAAATACACAAAAATTATTATCATGAGATATGATCAGAAACAAAATGCAGTTGATGGTTTGGTTAGCCAGTCTTCCTTTCTGCCCTCCCCCCCTTTTTTTTGTTTAAGACGCTAGTCAATTTACCAAATTTGAGAGAAAGGTAGAGATCTAGAGGATTTCAAATCCCTATCAATCTTGTAAAAATTACAAGCCAGCTAAAGGAGAGACATCTAACTTATTGTCTTCACTGAGAGAAAAGCTGCTAGATTAGGCTTCAAAAATTCAGCTCCTTGTGGAACTATGAAGGAATTTCTAGTACAATACTCCATAGGCTCTTCAAATGAAAGGTCATCAACATGTCATCAGAAGTAAACCCTACCTTACATAAAAGACATTAAGACAGCCACCATAGGTTGGGCCAATACTTCTGACTAAACTACTTTCAAAAAGATTTGCATCTAAAATTTTTGAAAAGTATACAGAACTACTTTGTTTAGACATTAATGTTGCTAGAGGGTGTATAACTATAAGCAATACTAATTACAATCATTTGCTGTTTCTTTAAAAATTAACTATTAGTTACATTAGTTCAACATTCAAGTTTACCTCACTTCCCCTCTCTGTATTTGAAAAGTGTATAAAAACTATTGAACCTTAGAGTGGTATAGCAAAGTGTGTCATAGATAAACTGACAATTAAAGCTTAGAAATAGATTAAATTTACAGGACAACATTTGTTCATAATTTAGTGCGCAATTCCAGCTAAAAGTATAGATTGTTTTCTAGTATGAGAAGACTTCATTATTAAACTAAAACAAGTTAAAACATTAAAAAATATACTTAATTTCTCACTTACACAGAAGATTTCCCAGTACGAGGATCATTGAAGGTGGTGGTTCTTGTATTATGGTCAACAAAGTATCTGACACCTTCTCTGGTATATCTGATTTCCCAGCCCTCTGGAAGAGGGTCCTCATTTTGTAAACTGCAGAATAAATTGCAGACAGTACTTTTTCTCCCATATCGTGACATATAAGAATTAAGCAAGAACTTTTTATCTGCAGTCAATATACACACCTACCCTTGAGTTCGAGGGTCTTCCCACTGTGTTGTCTTTGTGTTATGATTTACAAAATACACCCTATCATTTGAATCCACTCTCCTTTCTAGGGGAAAAAAAGAAAAAAAAACACTATACAACAATTGCATTCCAAATTTCTGTAACTGTCACTTCCTGAAATCAACAGCTAATTAACTTACCCCAACCTGGTGGTAAAGGCCCAAGTGGATCATTTTCTGCTGACAACATCGAAGCCTATTTAAAAACAAGAGAACATTCAATTAGGCCAAATATTACTCATATTTTTTTCCTTAATGTGTTTTAAGATTACCACTAGTTCTGAAGAGTATCCATTCAGAAAAAACATCATGCCATTTTTAGTTTGGTTTTGTGAAGAAACATAGATTATATGACAATAAGATATGATTTGTGCATTTGCCTCCACTGTTTCCAACCCAATCTACCCTCCCTTTCCCTTCCTACAGCAAACCTGGGAGAGAGTCAGTGGTCTTAAAGATGTACAGTTCATAGAAGTTTTGCAGAAGCATGTATAAGCAGATAAGCACAATGTTCTTGCCTAACAACATGCTTTACCATAATAAACATTTCCAAGCACAGTGATTACTGCCAACATAGGGTTTTTTGCTTCCTCAATACACGATATCTTCCCTGGACGTTTGGCTATTTTCAGACTTTGTCATTCTCTGCAAATGCAGCTGCATTCATTAAAATATGCTGATGGTTAAAATTGTACCAACATACAGTAAGATTAAAAGGAAAAGTAAGTGAAACAACCAGATTAAATTATTATGTAAAACCATGCTAAGCTTGTAATATACTGTAAGCTTGTAGAAGTCCCCCAGCAGCTCCCAAAAATACAAAGCATGGGAAAAATAACATGTAAAAGGCAGAAATCCCCCAGACTGCAGGATCCATGCTCTGATTTATAACTAAAAGCATCCACCCCCTAAAATGTTTTGGACACTAAAATTTTTTTTTTTTAAATTTTTATTTTTTTTTCTTTGTGCAGAATGGAATTTTGATATGGGAACCAATCTACATTTTCCAAAGAGTATCTTAAGGATCACCTTGCTACTAATACTGCTTCGTATAGCATTTGCAATCCAAAAATCTCAAATCCACTTAAGAGTTTACAGCAGCAAATTCATGCAAAAAAAGCTATGATATTTTTCCTGTGAAACAGAAACAGAGCAAGGATCAGCAGAAAATGCAATAATTACACTCAAACTCAAGCTGCCTCTTTGTTCCAGCCACCGGCTACTAGATGTGAACAGAGAATTATCATTATCTCAGCAGCAAATGCAGTTAGCCTTTTCTGCTTTTGTAAACTATACAGTCACAATGAAGCTGTAAACCAAAGACTTCTCTGTGTTGAGTATAAAAAGAATAGCACACAACAGAAAATGCTGTCTGCCAAAGAACTCAACGGTGGCACGATTCAGAGATTTCCGATCTTCTTAATGGGTCCAAGGATTTGTGTGTGGCTGCTGGCTAAAGTATGTTTAACAGAACACACTGAAACACTAGGCAGTGGCATGGGATGAGCCAGATTCAATACTAAAAGGAGTACAATATATTAACCCAGGTAAAAATAAAAGTAACTAAAATAACTATATCCTATCTATTTTTCTTTCTTCACATAGTTTTGCTTTGACCATTCAAGGTAATTGAAACATTCTCTTAGTCATTAGAAGTATTATTTTTTAAAAATAAATTACAATCTCACTTATAAACTGCTATATAGGTAGAGTGCTGGTATGCCACCAGAAGCAGAAAAGTTAGCTGTAGTTTGACCTTAACAATTCTAGAAGAAAAGTATACAGCAGCACTGAAGTTTAAAAAAAAAGGCATTCACAACATAATTTCAATTTCTTCCCCCATCAAAATGTGAGTTCTAGTTCTAGGTATGGAACTGATACACTACTTAGAATTCTGAAGAGATGCAAACAGTCAAGTTATCTTTTCCTTCAAGTATATTCTGTCTCACAAACAAATCCTAATTTAATGATTCTAAGGTCAGACGGTACATTTTAAGAAACAAGTCTGTGGTTTTCAACAAGAGTTATCATTAAATGAAGAAAGGAACATAATTTAATTTAAAAAAATATATCATTCCCTGAGAGAATAAATCTACCTTAGAACAAAAATCTTAGGATCAGGAAAAGTGAGAGTTTTCTTAGAAGTTTAAGCAACTGATCAAAGAAGTACACAAGTACAGAAAGTTGCTCAGCGAAAGTTCTTGGCTTCGTATGTTTCAGCTGTGATTCTTGGATTTGCATTAAAAGTTACCAATGTGTAGAAACACCTGAAGGAGGGTGCAAAAAGGATGGAGCCAGGCTTCTTTCACTGGTGCCCAGAGACAAGACCAGAGGCAATGGGCACACACTGAAACACAGGAGGTTCCTCCTGAACATCAGGAAACACTTTATCACTGTGAGGGTGACTGAACACTGGCACAGGTTGCCCAGGGAGGTTGTGAAGTCTCCATCCTTGGCGATATTTAAAAGCCATCTGGACATGGTCCTGGGCAGCTGGCTCTAGGTGGCCCTACTGGAGCAGAGGGGTTGGACCAAATGACCTCCACAGGTCCCTTCCAACCTCAAGAATTTTATCTTTCTCTAACTGAATAAGATAAATTGACTTTGATGCATAGCTCCACAAGTTAGGAAAATTAGTGGTGATGCATGTTTCTGCCATTGCTAGTGATGAGATATAATGTCTAATTAGATAATGAGAGGCTGAGAACTGTTAAATATAAGAATACTGCAGTATCCTTTACTTCAGAGGGGTACCTGAATAAAGTCTATCAAATTCAAAGCAAAGTTAGGTCTGCAGATGCATAGAGTTCTAGGCCAATGAAGCTGTTTCAGACTTGTACTTCAATGGTTTCTTCTTTAAAACACTCCAGCTTTGCTACACATTGCTTACAAAGTCTCTAGGACTGGATCTTTTTTTAAGAGACCAAGCACAACGCTTAAAATGGTCTGTTCAGAGTGACAGTGACATGCAGGCACCATCATTCTTAACTCTGAAAAAACAACTACCCTATTTATCCAGTCACAGATGGAAAAATCTGTCTCAAGAAATATCTTCTTTGAAGCTACTCATGGTATTTTCTTCAGGCAGAAGTAAGCAAGCAACTATCTGAGAGAAACGGAAAACCATGTAGGAAATTCCAGAGCTGAATGAGGTGCATAAGCTTCAAAATGAATTCAAAGTAAAAGAATTGCCGCCTGTGCTAATGAATGACTCCTAACCACTAAAACAGTTTTGAAGGACATTTAATGTTCAAAATAGCCATAACTCAGCTTTTATGTTCCTTTTCAGTTAAGGGACTGCTTTAGTTATACCTCTTACTACTGTCATTAGAAGTCTTAAGTATCATGCAGTACACAAGACTCAAGTTAGGGAACAGACTCAGAAGGGAGTACTTTTTGCCTTTAACTTTTGCCTTTGACTTTTGTTAACATTTTTCAACAGAATCGGAATCTGAATTACTGATGCCAAATGTCTCGTTACACATATGGTTGAACAGTTATAAAATCACTTTAGAAAAAGTTAAAGGACAGAAAGTATACCTATACCTCTCTACTCATTTCTAAATTTTATGTAAAAGTTACCGAATAGAGGTATCGTTGGTTAAATTGTTGCATAGCTCCCTGCAGTTGATTCCGTTGAGATTGCCATTGCTCAAAGTTCCTGACTGATTCCATTGTTGGTCGCTGCCACGTTGTTGTTCTGGTATTGTGGTCCACATAGTAAACTCTCCCACGATCATCAACTCTTCTTTCCCAGCTTTCAAGAAACACAAATGTTAACAGATAAATTTTTCAGTAATATTACGTAACTCATTTCCTCTTTATGCTAAATTCCTAGACAATACTTGAACGAGGTACTGGAGTCACAGGCATGATTCTGATTTCTAAAGTACACAAAAGTACTCCCTGACTTTATTGGTAGAAGGACAACCACATTGAGCAAACACAGACTTCAAGCAATAGCATGCTCAGCTCTCTGTTACCTCATTTGTAACTTTGTAAATTCCTGTGACCATAAGCAATGTTGGCAGGTTTCACAGAAAACACTTTGCCTGGAAATCTGAGGTTTGGAAGCACTGCACTACACCTAGCAGTGCCACCTAAATAAAGGTGGTGAAATGTGCATTATTTAATGCTTAAGTTTTAAAGGAAAAACAAAATAATTTAGTAGCTGTATTTGAACAAGTGATCAGAACAAGCAGCATATACAGTACCAACATTCCTATAACAATAGCTGCAATGAATATAACTCTAACTGAAAGCTAGAATTTCTTAATATATCATGTATAATGCAGTTTTGATGAGCTGCTTATAAAAGCTGGTATTTTTCCTGCACCAAACAAACAAAAAATAGTACCTTTATCCCATTTAAATCAAAAAAGTCTACATTACCCAGGAGGTAAGGGCTGTGGTCTTTCCCATGTTGTGGTGCGTGTATTGTGATCAACATAATAGGTTCTACCATGAGGATCTTTTCTTTGCTCCCACCTTCAAGACAAAAAGACTTTCATGTAAGTCAAGGTGAAAATGCTTCCTTAGGATTTATTTCCCACTAAGCCAAAAAAGTACCTTGGTATTGAATGAAAATACTATGATCCAAAACTCATTCTAAAACACCAAAGAAAACCCACACTAGAGTACATAGCAGTCACTTTGTACTTTGAACTGGTATCACCATAAAGGCTTCTTTAAGGCACTTGGTACATAAAATGAGCATACATCAATATTCACAAGCATTTTCAAATTCTATTTAAGATACATGAAAACAAAGTCAATTAATTATCTGTTCAAGGCTTGGATGCTAAAATAACCTCATTCAAAAAGTGCTTAGAGATGATTCTTTACATTTCCAAGTGCATGCCTCTCTCAAAAAAATGGGGAATTTACATTTTGAAGCACTGTTCCCTATACCCAACAAACAACAGGGTCTTTCACAGTGAACGTGAAAAGTGTGCTATCAGATGGTTTTCATGTGTTTGTATTCCTGTTCTTGTAAATTCTCTATCTGATATCCCTGGGAATTATTTTTTCAGTTTTAGTTGCAAAGCAAACTTACATTGAAGATGGAGAGAGGACCAAACATTATGAACAACTGAAGTTTCATGCTGCTGAGAACTCCCATAATGCAATAAAAGTATTTATAAATGGGAGAGGAAACCAGGATGCTAGATGAAAAGCTGAAGTCCTTCCTTGCGTTAGATATATGTTTGTTTTTCTTATATACATAATTAATTAGCTCCTAAAAATGTAGGCAGAAGAACACCTTGCCTGCTACTCACAGGATCTGATGTGCATTTCCTCACTATTACAGAGTATCCTGTAAAACTCCTCCAAATGTTTTCTGCAGTTCAAGAGGTTAAATGCTAAGATTACAAGAAGATAAGAGAGGAGCAGCAGCATGTTAGAGAGTTACTAGTGTTAAACATAATGGCAACTCAACTAGATTTTGGGGAGGTAAGGGGGGGGGGAACCATGAAAAAACCGCACAGAAATGCGATCAGGGACGAATGATGAAGAAATGCATTTGGCCATAGTGTGCACTATGCCTGGAACTCATGACCCTGTCCTCAATGGGAATGTATGTAATTCATTAAAAAAATTTATATAAAAAGAGCATATGGAGGGAGGATGACCACAGGCATTCCCACCTACAGATCTTCCATTGTCAAAGTATCTGAGAATTAAAAACTTCATAACTCTTCCCCAACAATATATATACAGTATTTCCATCTTTTTAGATGTTTGTTTTCATGTTTATCCAACTGCAGAAACTCAAGTGAAGTGTCACTAATAACTTACTGAACCTCCTTCAGAAGGAGCAGGTACAAGACAGGCTCTCTGAAAGATCAGCTACAATGACACAAGGTATATACACTTCGCATTAAGAAACAATTTTTGTGTTCAGAAAATGCTAAAATAGTTAATATTTAGAATATTATGGAAATGTCAGTATTTCCAATTAGTTACTGAAGACATCTTTTCACCTAAACATGAAAGAATCTATATAAAAAAATTTTAAGATTAATATATATATATTTCAGCATGTACCACATTTTCATTTCACATCTAAGCACATCTTTGATTTTGCATTTGAGGTTTAGGACCACAGAAGTTTCTAACAGTCTATAGAATTAAAAGTTTCTAGCTATTCTGAGCACTTACATACACTTCAAATCTGTATTTTTATCTATAACATTATTGATCTCATTGTTACACAGCAAGCACCTACAAGTATTTCTAGACTATTTTATTAATATTCACTACTCTCTATTTTGGTCCCTACTACATTCTCATAGTTTAAGAACCAAAGGAAAAACAAACTATGACCCAAATAAGTTTGAATATATCAAATGAAAAGTCTTCATATCCATAATGCCCAAGAGTTTGTCTATTTAGATCACAATACCACCTCAGCAAATCAGTTAGCAGTTGTTACTTTCTGGGACAAGAGCTACTGGCCAGTTATAGCAGCAGTACAAACCCTGTTTTAGATCAAATAACCCAGTCTCAGCTAACTGACCTGCATTTGGCAATCCCAGTATAGACTTAAATTTCTGTTTCTTCATATGCGCATTCAGACGAAACATAATTACAGCATTAAAATCAAGCCCACGTACCCTGGTGGCAAAGGTTCTGTACTGGCATTACCAGGCTGCTGTCTTACAGGTTCTGCAGATGCACTTGAGGTGGAGGAGGATTCCCTTGGTTTTGCCACATCTGCTACTACACTGTTTCTAGCACTAGGTTGAGCACAGTCTGTTGCAGCTGTAGGTTCTAGTCCAGCAGACACAACAGGTAATGCAGAAGTGTGGCTTTCAGAACAACTAGTTGCTTCCGTTGTTGACTGAGGTTCTGCTGTAGTGTTAGTGCAATCTGAAGACATGGGAGCTTCAACTGAACCTATCGGAGCCTCAGGGACAGAAGAATTATCAGCTTCTGGTGCAGAGGCAGATGACTCGCCATTAACTGAGAAATGGGAAATAAGAACATTTGTGTATCAGAATGTGATGAGATTTACTTTTCAAATGACCAACTTTTGGAGTAAATGACGCAGAAGGAATACGTTTAAGTTGCTCCTATATGCCAAAGCAGCATTTTTGTCTAAGATGACAAAACGTCACAATGCACCTGCCTCAGTTAAAGGTAATTAAATGTAATTAAAACTTAGTCTGCAAGCCATTCACTATATTACCCTGCCTAAGGTACTTTCTTAGCTTCTGCGTACCTTGGTCAACTCAACGTTAGACCTTACTCTTTAGTTTAGCAAAAGGTATCCACCTGCTTCCCAGAAAACAGTACTCCTTTATTTGCATTGAAACTTCGAACTTATGTCAACTTCAAAAAAGAATCTTGATTGATATGACATGAAAGAAAAATATTAAGAGATAATCATAGAATCATAGAATCGTTTAGGTTGGAAAAG